TTGTTACAAGCTTAGGTACTTTCTCCAGTGATACTCGCACACTGTTGCCTAAGATTGAGAACCTTTTTTAGCTGGTCGCTCCCTTCGAGCATATATATTTCATAGAGTCCGCATTCAACAGAGTTTGTTTGGGTTGTGAGGGGAAATAGGTAGACACTATTTTCAGTGTCGCATCATTTTTACGGGGTTTGCAATTAATATAAATAATAAATTTGATGTATACCTTTAAAATTCTTTAAATTATGCACATATTTTATATACTTGCATTATTTAAGTAGGTATCTAGTAATAGTACAAAAATAAAAATTATTGATTTAACATATTCAACATTATCATGATAAAATGAGTTAAAAACGAAAATATTGTTTATATTGAAAAAATCTGATTATTTTTTTTAACGTTTTAATAGAGTCCAAAATCTAAAACAATATTCCTCATACATAATACAAGTTCTTTAAATGTAATTCACTAAATTTACCATTTATTTTAAATTCATGTTAACGGCCTTTTGCATAAAATGTAGGTACTTATGTTTCTTTTAAAAAAATGGTAGAGACGCTAATGGTTACTTACTTGTGAAATGACCTTGACGAAGCCTTTCCGTATTTCCATTTAAAACCTTCACAAACTCTCACCATTGTTAAAATGTATCACTAAAGTAATAAAATACAAAAAATCAATTATAAACTACAGAAATAAGCTAGAAATTAATGAAAGTCAAAAATCAAATGACAGTTCTGACAATTTCGAACGATTTGACATACCAAGCAAAACGAAACAGACCAATGGGAATGCTGGACACTATATTTCCCCCCTGTACCAAAACAAAGTCCATTTGGACGATGGCTCTAGTAATATATGCTCGAAGGCCGCTCCGCACAAATGCTCACAAACCTTTCTTGTGCATCACACGTTGCTTGAACATCATTACCTTTTTGATTAACGTACTTATCACGAAAAGTATAATGTTTCTTTAATTGTACATGTGTATAACCTAATGGTATAACAAGTTAACATTGTTCATCTCTTAAACTGTGTTGGGGGAAATAGATCCAGTTATGTAATTTTTCAAGAATATGATTTATAATACAGTATGTAGTTTTACCCCAAAATCTTCGCATACTTCACAGTGTAAACCAGGGTCAGCAATATAGCGTAAAAAGATTTCCATGCGATTTCTTGGGATCAGCGCTTTTACTTGAGTTCCATTACTATCTGGCAAAAATTATATTTTTAATACTTTAAGTTAATACTTTCATTCTCGAAACGCAGCGGTTCCTTACATCTGGCCACAACTCTTCTTTCATCATAAACCTTTCTTTCCCGCACACGCATAAATATCGCCATGGTGAGGATATTTACGACACAACTAACAAACTCAAAGTGTGATCTTGTTTAGACCATGGCCCCACATTCGAAATCTCTAACTTTGCCAGCGATAGTTCAATTGGAAGAGCGACTATGCGTATAATAGGAGTATGTGAGTTCGGATCCCTCTGAGGGCAGAATATTTTCAATTTTTTATTAAAACTGTCTTCTCCTAGGGGATCCAAAAATAATTTTCAATATTTTGTAGGGGTAATAATGGGATATGTTTAAGAATTTATTTTAATTTTTCGGATATCTAACCGATAAGTTTTCGGAACTTTAAAACCGATTTTTCACAAAATTATTTTGCTTAAAAATTAACAAAGTAAGTATGTTTATTTAATAGACATCACATTAAGCACACCGAGCATTAAAGATCTAGTTAAAAACTGGAGAGTATCGAGTGAACCATCTCTATCTGATCACAAGATAATTGTGTTTACGTTAGAGAACGACATTCCTGAGACGATCGTCAGGAGGAATCCTAGAAAAAAAAACAGACTGGGACAAATACAACACCATTCTAAAACAAAATTAAGCATTTATCCAGACAAAAAAGGGGCCCAGGCACCCACTTGCTCTGGAAAGCGATCTCGAAGAACTAAATGGAGCAATACTTGAGGTATATGAATCAAGCTACCTCATTCAAAGAAATAGAACTAGTAGAGATGCTCCTTGGTGGAACCGTCATCTGTCAAACTTACGATCCGAAGTGCGGAAGCTCTTTAATAGGGCCAAGCACAGCGGAGGTTGGCAGAGCTACACCGAGGCGCTTACTACCTACAACAAAGAAATCAGGAAAGCTAAACGTAACAGCTTTAAAAAATTCTGCGAGGATATTAACTCTACACCTGCGGCAGCGAGACTGCACAGGGCCCTGGCAAGAGGCAAGTTGATACAGTTATGGCATTAAAGAAACCAAATGGAAGCTTTACGGAAAGTGAGGAGGAAAGAGCTCGCCTCTTACTCGAAACTCACTTTCCTGGAAGCACACCTTTTCTAATAAGGGACACAACTAAGGTAAGAAATCCCCCAAGAGAGGCCGCTGTAGTGGCCAAACACATATGCAGCAGAAATCGGTTAAAGTGGACCGTTTAAGTCTCAGGTGTGGATGGAATATTTCCTGCCCTGCTTCAGCAGGCACAGGAGGAATTACTAACACTCATAATCCAGCTATCCCGGAGCAGTCTGGAGCTGTGATATACTCGTATACCAGAGAGAAGGGCCAGAGTCACCTTTATTCCATAAGTAGGGAAAAAGGATACCACACATCCTAAATCCTTCCGACCAATCAGCCTCACATCCTTTGTATTAAAAACAATGGAGAATGCTGTTGATAATTATATCAGAACGGAAGTCCTGGAGAGGGTGCCACTCCACCACAGCCAACACGCGTAACGAGTAAAAAGATCTACAGAAACTGCCCTGGTACAGTTGACTGACGTAATCCAGGATGCACTGACAAATAAAGAAACGGTCGTGTGTACCTTCCTAGACATACAAGGAGCTTTTGACAACACGCCACACGAAACTGTAAAAAGAGCACTTGCATACAGAGGAGTAGATCACATCATATCCAGATGGATGGCTCAGCTGTTATCTACGAGAACTGCAGAGACACATATAGGGCAGGACACCATCTCCATCTGCACAATCAGATGTCCACAAGGAGGAGTTCTATCATCACTAATGTGGAGCCTAACCGTAGACGAACTTCTATGCAGATTGACTAACCTCGGCATACCCTGTCAAGGTTATGCCGACGACATAGTCATATTTGCTAGAGGCAAGTTTAGAAATATCCTGTGTGATATAGTCCAACGAGAACTAGAACATACCAAAAGATGGTGCCGTGAAGTATAAACCCTACAAAAACAACACTAGCAGTCTTTTCAAGGAAAAGAAAACAATCTCAAAACCGTTAAATTAGACGGAATAGATATAGAATGGAAAAACGAAGTCAGAGTAGTAGAGGATAGTGAGTGCAGATTCTGTGAGGAGGAGGACGAAACCTCCATTCACATCCTAACTGAATGTGTAGCACTCCAGAATCCAGGATATCAAATAGAAGAGGGAGATTTACCTAACTTGAAGCCACTTCAAATCCTACACTTCCTTGAGAAAATAGGATTGGAAGGGTCGTTATAGGCATTGAAACATTTCCTTGGTGCATTGGCGACAGAAGGAGGCACAATAGATCTTTTAGGTCGCAGTGTATTAACACCCCATTCCCAACATAACATGCTTATTTAATACAGAATAAAATGAAACCGTTACAAAAAAATAAAATTATGATCTATGTAAATCATATACACTGGCTACAAAATAAGACTAAATAGTCTTCCCAGCTTTCCTCTGACTAAAATGATAAATTACGTCGGAAAAATCAAGAGTTTTGGCTAATTCATTATCAATCGCTAATATTGCTAAATATTTAAAACCACTTTGACCTGTTTGCTCCTTTGACAAGTCTGAATGATACTTTGAGACAATATTGGTGGTTTTAACTTTCATTTCATCATTTTGTAGGTCCATAAAAGCCAAAATATGGTATAAACAGATCATACACTTGTTCCGAGTTCGCAAATCTTGTTTTCAAATCTGCCATGAACAAATTCAAAACACGAAGGACAACAGAAGATTTAAATTCATTTGATTCTTCTAGCCGAAGTTTTTCACGCGTCTTTTCATCAGCATTGGGATTCCTTTTGATAAACTGGTGAAATGTCAATTGTCTTGGCAATTACTTTGGCTTCACTTAAAATGGTTTCTCATAAATCTCGTAAGACCTTTGTTTCAATAAGTCTTTAATTAGTTGTGTTTTCGTGATCAATAGAGGCTAAGATCTTGTGCCAAAATGATAACTCCAAGAGGAACTTTTGAAACTTTGAAAGACCCAAAGTATTCTAGAGTTCCCAAACCGTATTTATTGCTGATGGAGTTAATGTGGTTAACCTCTCCTCCAGGATCAGGGTCTGAAGCTTTGAGGAATGAAGGATAGTACTTCACAATCGGGGGCACAGCTTGCAGACTTTTTCTCCAACGAGTTTGAGAAAGGCATTGCAAAGACAAAAGGCACATGTTATTTTAACATTTCCAACGACCAAGGCTGCCAGAGAAGAACGAATAAACTTTCAAAAAATTTCAGGACATCATGATTCAGTTTAGCAACATTGACACCAACTCTGGGTTGGACACGGGCCCTGGATCCAGCCCCATCCTTGTGGAGGCCGTGGTTCAGACTTACAAATTATCAAATTGTAACTAATATAAAAAGTAGATTAAAAATGTAGTTATGATTACAGAACCGGAAAACATTTGGTTAGAACTAGGGGACCAGGTCAACTACTTTTATTCACACCAAGTGAAATTATGACTTAAAAATGCTTAAGTGTTAGCTTCAAATATTTTTTATTCACATGACTGCATATTGCGAATGTGTCAAATGAATGTAAATGGGGATGAACCCTTGTATATAAGACCAAAATTTTGTCACGACTTTATATATGTTTCTCCTAATATCACTAAGAGGGTGAATTATAAAGATATTATTCTTATTTTTCTGAGGGTTCTTAGACGGTTTCTGGCCATATAAGTTCAAAGTAATACTAAAATGTAATGATATAACTTACCCTGTTCCCGTGCCTAATAATAGTTTCTTCTAGAGCGTGAACCCATTTTTGCCTTTCTTCGGCATCTCTTGCTTGAAAATGGAAGGTCTTGTGGTCAACGGTAACCGTAAACGTACTATCGTCCTCGTCATCGATACCGATCACTGCCCCTTTTAAACGAACACACCCTCTCCGAACGCCACGCATCATTTTTTCTTTTGACTGTAAATAAAACAATATTTTTTTATTAGGTAAATACACATAAAACAATATATCTCATTTCCAATGCATTAATATAGTACACGATAGAAAATGTTTTCAGAAAAAACTTTTCACCCGATTGTAATTCATGAATCGTTAGTTGACCATAAAAGAAACTTGTACACCTATTCGCATTTTGTGTTATAATTTTTTATAAATCCATTATCCGTAAAAACGGTGAGTTGTAGAATATGTTTCATACATTGTCTACCATTTATTGGGTCAGTACGCTACGATGATAAAAGTAAAAAAGAAAAGGATGTCAAAGGTCTTAAAAACTCGTTTCTTCACTTTTTTGGACCAAAAATATTTTTTATGTCTCCATTATACGTGTCTATTTTGTTAAAGTCTCTCTTTACTGGGGCATACCCAGTTATAAGTTCTGTTGTTTTCAACTGGTTCCTATTAATGTAAGAGTAGTTATCCTGTTCTTTTTGAACATGGTCTCCCATGTGCTTGTTTTGGGCTCTTCTTCCCATAGATGTTGTGTTTTCTCCGAACCCAGTCTTTTATGAAACGTTAAACTAAACTTCTTCATCATACTCAAACCTAGAAGGATGGATTATACTGTCCCAAAAACATACCGACCAATTAACCTCACATCGTTTTCCATGAAGACATCGGAAAAGCTATGCGTACATAATTTTTAAAATTTGTATACAATAATGTAACCGATATTGTAACAACATGATTTATTTTTGTTCTGTTATTTTTAAATTGGTATTATTGGTTTTCATAAAATAAAAAATAGCAAACAGTTCAGTGTTTCAATCATAAGCGTACGGAGAAAACTTTTTACAAATATAAGTAAACAAACACAAAATACTATATTATCTTATAGTGGGTCCATCTTCAGTATTAATAGAATAAATTACTTTCTATTGACTTGAATGACACATGCATATTTTTGTTAGAAATGATTAATTGTTGTAAAAAGTTAACTGTGCTTTATACTTGTTAATGTATACAAATAAAGAAAAACGAATTCCATCATAAATCAAACAGAAATCCAATAAATTTTCTGACAGAGACCAAATGACCAGTGACCTGGATTGCATTATTAATTATAAGGATTTTCAAAGATGCAGTTAAAGCTTCAACCCAACAATTGAAATTCTGCAATAACCATTATACGGGGTGACAATTTAAAAACTTACAATGGCTATATCTCATGAATTAACTAAATATGATATTAGAAAAGTAAAACCTAATAAAAATAATTTATTTTGTATTTCTGGAATAGAAATATTTAAAAATATTTCATTCTGATAAACATGTCACCTAATAGATTAATCGATTATTTTGCCCAGTCCTAGTCTTAACACTCTATAAAGAATAACGTATGAATACCTAGGAAGTATATTAACAGACGAAGAAATAATAGATGCGAAACTTACAAACAGGACAAATAAATAAATTAGAATACACTATTCCCTAAATAAAACAATATTAATACATAAACATATTGATACAGACACAAAATTGAAAATGCATAATACAGGGTGGGCCAAACCACTGTTGTAGCTCTGTAACTCCTACTATACGATTTATTTGAAATACATATCTGTCAGTGGGGGTCAAAACGAAATATCCGAAAATTATTTTCTTGTCACGAATTATTGTTTAACTTGCAAGGCTCCATAATTTTCTAAACGAGTGGCACGATTTTCAAAAACTCAGCAGCGTTGTATAGGGAATGACAAAAACCTTTTAATAAGGTATCACTGATCCCCCTTCCCTATTTGAAAAAATTTGGAGACTGACACCCCTACTGAGGGGGTTGAAGGTTTTACTATGCTTTTTGCGTCAAAAGATGTCCCCTTGACAAACAAACTTGACGTGTTTTTGAATTTCGCCGAAAACTTCTTTTCCACCCTGTAATGCCTTACGGTATTTTTTCGATGGACCACCCTGTATGTTTTACTTATACCCATTACTTCGGCAATCCATTTTTGATTTACATTAGGCTCTCCTATCGCTGTCAAAACAGATAATTGGTTATCATCATCAGTAGCACGTTTGTGAATTACTGGTTTTTTATAAGCAACATATCCTGTTTCGCTTAATCTTGTATGTAATTTTTGCGTCAATCGGGATATTGTTAATGATAAATTCTTTTTGCCGATAAACAATTTCTGTCGGATTCTCCCAAAACGTAGACCATGTCAATTAATTCATTTTTTTTTGTAAAAATCAATATTAATAGAAGAATTAAGGCGATCAGTAAAAATAACTGATATATTAATGTCAGACACTAAATAATCTGACACCTGATTAAGACCTAGCCTACTTGATTGAATGTGTTCACTTTCGATAAAACCACTAGTCGAAATTCGACTTTTTATAGATAAATGTCTTTTTAGAATTTACTTTATAACGAAGACAGCTATGCATAGGAACGTACTTGGGGAAGGCGAAGTGTATAAAAAAATCTCTTTCCGTTGATGAATAGTAATAAAGAATAGGGTGTTTCAATTGAAAAATAAAAAAAAAAAAATTCCTGGAAATTTTAGGAAAGTGAAATTAATTTGTGGCCACCCAGTACAAAATAAAAAATAAAAATTTGGTCTAATAAATAATTTGTTCTATTGGCTTTATACATTTGTAGTTTTCTTAAATTGTAACGTTAAATTCGAGAGAGCACTGCATATTTTAATAGGCGTCTGAAAATTTAATATTTTTCAGTATTTTTTTTGTACTAGTGACCATAGAATACCTAAAACTGTAAAAAAAGTTGGGTCATTCGTTTAAAAAAAAATGAGTTGCCTAATTTACTATTGGGCCACACTGTACACAAGAAAATAATTTTCGGATATTTAATTTTGACCCCCCACTGACAAGTATACTTCAAATAAATCGTTAAGATTTGCATAGTAGGAGTTATAGAACTACGACAAAGGTTTGGCCCACCCTGTATAATTACAGTACCAATATAAATGCAATGGAAATAAAACATTGAGAAAAAAAAACGGAGAAAACTATATTGAACAAAATAAGAAATGAAGATTTTATTACAAGAATAATAACAGGAACCAATAATAACAAACATCAAAAATAAACAATTTAAGTGATATGGTCACCTAGTAGGAGTGAAACCAGATAAAATAGTGAGAAAATTAATGGAAATAGGAAAATCAAGAAAAATGCAACGAACGAAAGCCCAGAAGGAAAACGCTAGTCAGGAATTATAACCAATAAAATTTCCAAAAATCTTTTTAATTTAAATAAAGGTCTACACCAACATTTTAAAACTCTCGCAGTCAAACACAAATAGATATCACTTTATCCACAACTGGTATCTATAAATGAAGTCTAAACTGGTAAGTGTGTGATAACATTTCGATGTCAGACCACCGCTGATTAACATTCAAAATAAACTTGATGTTTCCGACCTCGACGTTATCTTGGAACCCTAGGAAGAAGGACAGGGCAACCTATGCTTATCTTCTCCAAGAGGCTCTGAGAAAGGTGGAGGCCAAAACAACAAACATACTTACATATTTCTTCTCAGAGAATCTAAAAAAATCGTTAGACAAAAACAAAGAGACGCATGGAGATTCTACTGTGAGGTAGGCAGCAAGACTTCAGAAAACTTTCTCAAGAGATTCACACCGCAACATTGGTGAAGTAATCAAAGAGGATGGCATGAAAAGTGTAAATTTTGAAGATACCATCAAACTTCTACTGTCACCAAACTTCCCTGAGTGGGTCATCACATACATGGTCGACTGGACAGAGGAAGAAATCAATCCAATTGTCTAAGATTGGCAAACTGCCAAACACATTGTAGACGATGAAAAACTTAGATGGTCTACTTCAGTGGAGTCTGAAAAAACTCACACCGCACCTGGTAGGTATATGAAAATCTCGTTGGCTTTGAGGTATATGCCCAAAAATGGAGAGAGTTAAACGTGGTATTTATACACAAACCTAGAAGGATAAATTACATTGTCCAAAAAACATAGCGACCCATTAGTCTGACGTCGTTTTCCATGAATACATTGGAAAGGCTAAACCACTACACCTAAATCAACACGCACACATCTCAGGCAGATCTACTGATTCGGCCCTTCATCTAGTTGCTGGCCGAATAGATTCCGTACAATAAGGAGTCCGCCTTGGGCGTTTTCATAGACATATAATGTGCTTTTGATAAAATCCCAAGATAATACACTCACTAACCAACATGAATGTTCCACAGATGGTTAGTGGGTGGATACATAACATGGTCTCAAAGCGAGCAGTAAACATAAGTGTAGAAAATGTGAATATAAGAGGCATGCTTATTTGCGAGATGTCGACAGGGAGACGTACATCACCTCTACTGTGGAACATAGTCCTCGACAAACTCATCAGCCATCTCAATAATGACAGTCACTACATAATATCGTATGCAGATGACCCTGGTCATTCTGCAAACGAGGAATTTGGAGAACATACTCTGCGAATGAATGGAAGTTGCTTTCAAAATCATAAAACAGTGTGGCAAGGACCATTAACTATCTATCATTCCCAAGAACACAGAATTTGTTCTTTTCACAAGTAAAATGATAAAAATTTAATTAAAACCTCCAGAACTCCTAAACACAAAACTAAACTTTGCAACAGAAGCGAAGTACCTAGGACTCACCTTTGACAGCAAGTTAACATGGAACTCACACTTAAAAAACAGTAAAAAGAGCATACATTGCTTATGAACAATGCCGCCGAACAGTGAGGCACACCTAGGGTTTCTCCCCCAAAGTCGTCACATGGACTTACGCGGCCATCATAAGACCTATGCTAACATACGCTGCAGTTGTCTGGGTATCGAAAACTTAATAATTGACAGCTGCCCGCAAACTAGAACAAATTTAAATAACAGCATGTCTCCACATAACAGGAGCCATGAAAACCACACCAACCGGAGCCATGCAAGTCATTCTAGTCCCACTCTCCTTGATATTTACATCCAGAAAGTT